GACACAGAGGATAAAGACCTATCCACCACTCTTACTTTATCCTTGCCAGAACAAGGAGAGTAAGAGTGGAAAAGAGTAAACAAACCTATCATATGATTGGTAGCACCGGAGTCAATAATCCAAGGGAAGGAAGAAATAGCACTCAAGGCATGTGCAGGAGTACCTATAGAAGCAAAGTTGGAGAAAGAAGGATCAGAAGTAGGAGTAGAAGCAGAGGCAAAAGAGGAATTAAGCTAAACCATCAGACGCGAAGAGTATGTAACTTATCATGAGAAAAAGCTGGATCACCCAAAGGACTAGTAAAGGATTTTGACAGGTGTGCATGAAAGCAAACAGTCCCACCGTGGCCACTAGTACCACTGCGGCCACTATCTCTCCCACAGTTACGTTGACCATGTAACTTCCAGCAGTGTTCCCGATCATGCCGTTCTTTCCCACAATAATCACAGAAGTGTTCCCAATCATGCCGTTCTTTCCCACAATAATCATAGAAGTGTTCCCAATCATGCGGTTTTTCTCACAATAATCACAGATAATCTGATCACAAGCACTAGAAGGAACCTAAACCCCAGACGGAGAGAGACCAAACTTCCCATCCTTGGGAGTAAAAGAAACAACTAGAGTAGACCGGTCTTAAAGAGGCTGAGGAACCATAGCACTCCGCCAGCTCTCTTCTTGTAGAACATAAGCATAGGCCTCACAAACTGTAGGAAACGGCTAGCGACCGAGAACCTGAACACAAGTTAGATCATAATCCAAGATGAGTCCAACAAGAAAGTCATAGACCCGCTCCTTGAACACCATTTGTTGAAAGGTAGCGGCATCTTGAGAACAGACAGCTTGGAAGTTTTGATAATGATCAAGTTCTAGCCACAAACTGCTCGACTCAACATAATACTCAACAAGAGATCTATCCTTCTAATCAAACCCTCGAATCTTTTTCCGTAGTTCATATGCTTAGGCATCATTACCTCGTTGAGAATACATCTAAGAGGCGGCAGTCCAAATCTCATGAGCAGTATCCATCAACACAAAGGACCAGCTAATGGTGGGGTGGATGGAATTGATTAGCCAAGTCATAACAAGTGCATTCTCCTTATACCATTTGTCAATGTCCTGGTCTATCCTCGCTAGAAACCTTAGTAACTCCAATTATGCAACCCAACATACCACAAGCAGTAATGGACAACTAAAAGGAACATGACCAAACCAAATAATTGGTACCATCTAACTTGACAAAAGTCAGATGAAGAGAAGAGTTATCACTCAGAGGTACAAAAGGACCTGACCCTTTGGCCTCACTGGTCACAGGGTTCTTGCTATCATTAGCCATGGACTAAAAACACAACTATACTTCAAAATATAAAATAAAAAAATAAAAAAAATAAAAATAAAAATAAAAAAAGGGGAGGAAGGTGGAACACAGCCCCAACAAATCACAAAACCAGTCCCACAAGAGCCGAAACAGCCCAGAAAAGGGCAAAACAGTGAGGTAGAAGGTAAAAGACACCCGTAACTGGACTTTGAGACCAAAAAACAAGCCTAGAGCCACAACCGAAGCCAAGGAGGGCAAGAGAAGGTCCAATCGGCTCCTAGGGAGGAGGACCGAAGCCACAAATCAAGAAAAAAATGCATAGAACTGGCATATCCAAAAATAGGGTCCATTTTTTTCGAAAAATAGAAAAAAATTCAAAAAATAGGCAACAACCATCAAGAGAATTTTGAAATTTTTCGTGGGATATCTTTGAGCCCAAGGCGAGCATCCTGGAATTTTTTTGAATTTTTATACATTCTCAAATAATAATAATAAAAATATATATATATATAAAAAAAAGGAACGAACTAGAAAAAGAAGAACAGAAGATTCTCTTCACAGCACTGATACCAAGTTAAAATTATAAGAACAAGTTTAAGATTGAGAGGGGAGGAGAAAAATAAAAGAGAGAATTCTTATTAGAAAGAGGCACAAAACCTTAGATTAAGTTTTCCCTCTATAACAATATGTATTTATACTAATCAAATAAGTACATAAAGACAAAACTACCCTTCATCTAACTTAACAATCAACCATCTATTGAATAAATTTTACATGGGTATTTATATGTTGCTAGACTTCTAATTTTACTACGACAATGAATCAAGATTATGCAACTAAGAAACTATGCATACTTAGAATGACATAATAAAATAGCATACACTGACCCCATAAGACAACTTCACATAGAAATCCGATTCACCATCACATTTACTAAGTTTAGTCACGTAAACTAAACTTCACAAATAAAATCAAGGATTTAAGACTAAAAGTTTCGTCCTCTATATGGAATGTACCCTCCTCCCTCCCTCCCTCCATCCCTAAGAAACATAGACACTTCTATGGAGGAAGAGCATTATGCCCGATACCCATGTCGAACACTTCTAAATGCGTCTCGAACACTTCTTCAACGTGCCTTAATTAAAAAAATAAAATTCATCATATCAAACACTTCTGCGACACTTCTTGAACCCTCCAAATACACCCTATGTGATGAATACCTTCTTAATAAGAATGTTTTGTTTTCTTCTATGCACTCTAATATGTTTTGAAACATTAATAAGATGAATATATCTTGCATTTTGCAATGTTTTATAATTGTTTTGTATTTTTTTAGAATGTATTGTTACATAAATGATATTTTAATACTAAAGGTATCATATCAAAGAAAAAAATAATACCGCAGGTATGAAATATATAGCTTTTTAATGTAATCAGTGTTATATTATATATTTTTTATTATCTTTGAATAAATTTTTCATATATATGACATAAAATAAATATTGCGCGTTTATGTCTAGACTATAGACACCTCCCTAAGGCCTGCGTACGAGTGTCGGACACGCTATGAACACCTGTCCAACACTCTTCCTAACGTGTCCCCTCTTTTTTTTCTTTTTTCTTTCTTGAATTCTTTCAGTCGGACACACGGTGGACACGCGATGACATGTTTCAGACATGCACGAGGTAGATCGAAGAAGCCCTAACCTGTTGGGCGGAGAGAGAGAGAGAGAGAGGGGGTGGGAGAGGTCAATTGAAAGAAGCCCTGAAGCTGTTCAAAAGAGATCAATCGAAGAAACCCTAACCTGAGGTATTCTTCTTCCTCTTCTTTGTTCTTCTTTGTCTTCTCTGCTCTTCTTCTTCTCTCCGTTTTCTTCTTATTCTCCTCCGTTTGATGATTTCGTCCCTCCCCTCCCTCTTCTGAGTTTGTTTCTCCCCTGTTTCTGATTTCACCTCTCCCCTCTTTCGTTTATCTTTTTTTTTTATTTATTTTGTTCGTTTCTCCCTTTTCTAATTTCCACCCCCTCTTTCATTTCTCTTTTTCACCTCCTCTCTCCTCCCTACTTTTCCTGATTTCCCCCCCCTCATTTTTTTTTTTTTTGTTAAACCTAAAATTCATAGAATAAATTATTTTTATGTAAAAAAAAAAATCATTTTTTATTAAAAAATTTAGGTAATGTGTTTATTAATTTTATTATTGTCGTATTGTATAGGAACCAATGATTTTTTTTTTTTTCAAATTTTAGACATATAATAAATAAATAAAATTATATATATTAAACGTGTCCCCAGCATATCGTGGCCGCCATTTTTTGAAAATTTACATGTCCGCGTCATCTCCCGTTTCCATCAAAATGAAATAAACATAGTTCAAATGATCAAGAGTTATATAAATCCACAAGAAAATACATAATAACCCACAACTAGAAAAAGCAACAATCGGTACAGGTGAGAATAGTATAGTTTCCAATTCACAAGCATTCCTGAGAATTGATTGAACCAAGAGTTGCAGGATGCTAGATTTTTGGAAGTCACATTGCTGAAAAGCTTGAACAGCGGGAAATTTAAGGGTCCAATTGTTAGATTGAAATGCAAGAAATACAGGTTTAGGATTGGACAGCTTTGATACAAGAGTATTAGGGCATGTATCGGGGCTGCTCTGGAACTGTAAGCAGTAACTGGAAAACACTTACATAATTTTTTGAAGAGGATAAGGAGGCAAAAAAAAAAAACAAAGGTTTCACCCCTGCAAGGGTTGAGCACATTTTCACAAAAACAAACTGAAATTCCCATAACTCTTTATTGAATAAAACCATTACGTAGGTATATGTTGCTAGACTTCTAATTTCACTATGACTAAGACTCAAGATTATGAAACTAAGATTATCAACTCTAATAAGTGTCGCCTGTGTCACAATGCTTGCTGTGCAAAAATGATAAAAATAATAATTAAAAAAAAAAAAAAGTTTTCTACGTAACAACAAAATGAGATTATAGCGGATACAAGACACTAAACAAAGTAAACCAAAACTAACCCATGTAAAGATACCTCCGAAACTACAGACAACTTGGATGTAGAAACTGGAGTATCCTATCAAAGCTACAATGTCAAGCAACATTAAATCGGACAACACTAATCATCAAATGATTGGTCTGATTTAAAAAAAAAAAATGCCAAAAATAAAGCAAAGCTTGCACAAAAAAACAGAAAAAATAAATAAATAAATAAATAAATGCACAGGACACTCAAAATAAAAACAAAGAAGCTAAAAAGACGAAAGAAAATAAGTTGGAAACCACACAACACAGTAAAAAAATAAAGAATTTATCAATCCTAAAAGAATTCATTTATTTTGTTGCCGGATGAAAAAGATGCATAATCAAAGCTACAATGTCAAGCAACATTAAATCAGACAACACTAATCATCAAATGATTGGTCTGATTTTAAAAAAAAAAAATGCCAAAAATAAAGCAAAGCTTGCACAAAAAAACAGAAAAAAAAAAAAAAATGCACAGGACACTCAAAATAAAAACAAAGAAGCTAAAAAGACGAAAGAAAATAAGTTGGAAACCACACAACACAGTAAAAAAATAAAGAATTTATCAATCCTAAAAGAATTCATTTATTTTGTTGCCGGATGAAAAAGATGCATATATAGACAAAGAAGTAGACAGAAAATATACCTGACCCAGCAAAATATGGGGCTCATCGCTAAACCTGAAATGGACCTCAAAGTCCAATCCTTCAGCTGCAATGAATATTGCCTTATCAAAGTCCTTTTTGACCAGTTTTGCTTTGACTTTACTCTTACTTTTCAACTTTGATTTGCCTTTCTTGTCACTTGATTTAGGTTCGGAGGGAACTGGCATTTCAGAGGCTTCATCTTCATTGTCAAATATCTCAATTTCATCATCCTCCCAAACCTCCTCTTCATCTTCAGCCTGATCAGTTTCTTTTTCAAGTCCAGCCATTGTCTCCCCTTCATTGGGCTCATCCTCAGAACCATCTTCATAATCCATCTCATCTGCAGCTTGCTGTTTTCTTTTTTGCACATCCGAACCTAGATCATCAGCCCCTTCATCATCATCATGATCATCATCATTTTCTTCCCCTTGTAGTCTGTTGCTAGAAGCATCCTCATCTATCTCATCTGATGCCATCGATCGTGAATCTGGCATGAAGTTTTTGATGCCATTAATTCTAGAGAGCAACAACAAATGACTTTGTATTGCATCTTCCAATTGTCTCATAAACAAAACTCCCATGGTTTCCTCATAGTCTTCAATTGAAAACAGTTGAGATTCACAGAGCTTCATCTTAAGCTTATAAATTCTGGATATCTGGTTATTATTAATGGATACTGGCAAAACACTTTCTTCCATGCTCTCTATTATGTCTGCTACAGTGACCTTCTTGATTTTTCTCACAAGGCGCTCAGCATCCTTCCTGCAAATAATGAATATATCAGTCCTTTGGGTGTAGCGTTTGCATGTGTAATAGTGAGAGGTGGGCAGTTGGAAACAGAGATGTAGGAGTGGCACAACATCAAAGCAGTTACAAATTTGCATTAATACCAAATAATCTCATTCAATGGCCTAACCATTCAGAACTTTAGGCCTTGTGACGCAATCCATAAGAAGCTCAAGGAAAGCTAAATTCAAAGAAGCAATGATATTTGGACATTGGCATGATTTCATAGAGAAACTAATAAGAATTTTAAATAATTATGTTTCTAGTATTATTAGAGTATTATTTTACAATTATTTTTATGTTTTGTAGGATTTTTAGGTCAAGGGTATTTTGATAATTTTTATTATTGTTGTCATGGGCTGTAGGGGTCGCCCATGGGTCATCTTATGAGTCAAATTATTTAATTGAGTTTTATTTATGTTTCTTTTTAGTCTTAAATTAGTTTTAGAAGTCAAAAATATTATAACAGTTTCTTTTTTTGGTTATAGTTGGTTTAAGAAGTCTCCTAATTCTATATAAAGCCATGTAATGCTTATAATTCAATAGAGTTGATATTTTATAAAAAGTTGAGAGCTTTGAAGCTTCTTTATGGATTATGTAATGCAATCAAATCCTAAAGGCTAAGTGTGATGCCTAAGGAATTCTATGAGTGATTCCTAGATCTATCTTCTTCTTCTCCTTTCTTTTTTTCTATTTTCATTTACTATTCACGAGTTACTGTTCACAGCCTCGTAACAGCCCCTAAACAGTGCTAAAATCTTATCTTTTCATGCTTAAACTCTTACCTATTTATTACCCTAACAAACCCTAATGGTCTCCTATATTCTTATTGCAATTGCAGCCATAAAATCCAATTAAAATCAGACCCAAAAGCCTAGATTTGCTGCTGTCCCTAGTTGTCCTGCATCAAGTTGTTTGGGAAGTTAGCTATTTCAGTTGGCTATTTGGCTTTTTAACTATTTTAGCCTGGCTAAAAAGGTTGTGTTTAGGAAGTTGGTTGGCTTTTTTTTGTAGTTGATTTGTTGGATGTGAGAAAAAAAGTGAAATGATTATGGTTTAGATGTGACATATTGTCTTATTAACTATTTTAACCTATTTTATCTTTTAGTGGGCTATTTTAGCCCAACTCTCTTCCCAAACATCCGCTTAATATTCCAAGAGGCACAGCTTCCTTCTACAACAATTTTAAGGTTAGTACAAGCTAACTCAAAGCTGTCATAAGTCGCTAATTTTCAAACATCGAAAACCTCAAAAGCTCAAATGGTCGTTGCACCAACTTAAGAGCCAAAGACGCATAACATTTCCGTCTCTTGGTGAAAAAAAAAAAAAAAAACTATCTACATGTTTTCCTCAAAAAGTTAAATTTTCATATGCAGGTCACTCGTTGGGCACACTTTTTTAATGAACTTCTCAAGATTATGCCTTTTACTATACAGTGTCAGAAAAATGTTATGACAATTCCTTGAAGGGGGTATTGAGAACACTGACCTTCACGATTTGTAAGTAAAGAAAATCTAAACCTTATAAATGGCAATTTTTTTATCAGGGTAAAAGGGGCAAGATTTTTCTTGCTCAACCACACCAAATGCTATATGATCTATAAAGCATGGACTTAGTTACATTGTAGAAGTATTCGGTAATTGAAAATAATTTTATTTTTTTAATTTCAATAAGTATCGGAACTATTCCGATACTTTCCGGATACTCTAAGCCACGTATCTGAACAATATTATAAAATTGAGATTGTAATTACTTTTGAAGTAGTACTTTCACTTAATCATACTTTACTACAATTCATCTCACTTTCCTTTCACTCTCTTTCATTTTCCTACTACCTAACTAGATAACATAGCTATTTAAAGCCTCTTAGGAACATGAACCTAGTCTTGTACATTTATCAAGACATTAATGACCCTTCACCTACATACATTGAATAATTCATAAGTCCCTTTAGTTAAATGCACGCACACCTCACAATATTGTTTAGTTACATGCATGAACATGAACCACTCCATATATGTATCATGTGTGTATAGATATTTATAGAATTAACATATAACTATCTAGATTACCTGGATTTGTTGGGCTTCTTGTACGGACTCCGGTTTGGGGGGGTTGGGGCGGATTCTTTGAGGTGGGATGGTTCGAAGTCCAAAAAGGTATTTTCTGTAGCTTCTTTTTACCATATGATTATGGGAAAGGATGCGGTGCCGTTCCCATGGAAGACTATTTGGGTGGTGGATTGTCCGTCCAAAGTTGCTTTCTTTGTGTGAACTGCATTAGGGCATATTCTGATGATTGATAATTTGGTTCTTCGTGGGCATATTTTAGTAAACTGGTATTGCATGTGTTATAGGGATGTGGAGATGGTAGACCACTTGCTTATTTGCTGTCCGGCTGCCTCACATCTTTGGATGTTTATTGTTTGCTATCTTCGGTTTGGCTTGGGCTCAACCAGGGACAGTGCGGGCGGTGTTACAAAGTTGGGTTGGGGGAAGGGTTGGGAAGAGACGTCGGAAGGCTTGGAAGTTGGATAGCCATTGTCTAATGTGGCTCGTTTGGTTGGAGCGTAATAGGCGAGTTTTTTTTTAGGGAGATACGTTCGGTGGCTTGGTTAGAGAGACGTTTGTTCATTGTGCTGCATAGTTGGTTATCGTTGACAGTGGACCCGGATGTTTTGACCTTTGTTGATTTTGTGGAGGATTTGATTTAGCTGCTATTTGTTTTGTTTTGTCTTGCAGCTTAGTGTTGTTTTCGTTTGTGGTTGTTGATAGTTGTTAGGTTTGATTTTGTATTATTTGCTTTGTCTTGATGCTTTTTTAATAAAGTCTGCTTATTTATCAAAAATAAAAACATATAACTATCTAAATCTTCCTACAAATAGATTTGACAAGGATGTAAGAAACTCACTTCAACCTCCCCTCTAGCAATGGGCATGTCATTATAGGAGTCTTAATATCATTTGAAGCAGTCATCAAGATCTCTTGTAAACGTGGAATTCCAAGTGTCACATTCATTTCTCCACGCCCAGCAAGATGGAATGTGTTTAGCCTGAAAAAGTAAACAATATACAACATAGCTATAAGAAGTGGAAAAGCCATAAAAACATCATGATGCCCTTGATTGAGGAAAAAATGGAACAAAAACAAAACAGAAGCTCTAAAATTAAAAGGAATAGCTGATGAATTTATTAAGTCTATCTAGTAATAAAGAAAATGGCAACCTTATAAAGTCTAGATGGAGTGAATCGTTTTGGTATCAGTTAAATATGCACATATTTCTAAATCTATGTATCCACTAATTCTATATTTATGTTCTTATTAACTTCTACGACACATATCATCATGTCTCTATATATGGAATAGGATCACAAACTCAAAACACAAAGTATGACAACTATCTACAACGGAAAAGGGTAGATTATGGCAATTACGCAAGTCATTATGAAAAAATAGACATCAATTGTACCAAAATAAAAAATGCAATCACAAGAAAGTGCTCTCCCACTATACTAACAATGGTCAACAACCATGTCCACCTACCAAAGACTCACTTACCCCTCAAAAGTTTACTTGGAGGGATCCGTTTTGGTCATTTACCCATTAGTCTCTCTAATATTATCCCAAAAAAACATGTACAAAACTTTAGATGCCTGCAATCAAAGAAACCTTATTATCGTTGGTGGACACGTATCACATAGTGAAACTTCTTAAACGTGTCCTAACATAAGAATTTAAATACATAAATTCAGGCACACATGTAATGCACACTTCTTAAGCTCAAAGAATAACAATTGGCATTCTAGGGAAAGCAATTCACACACCCATGTGTTGATTTATTTCTAATAAATATGTTTCATATGCATAACCAACATAGAGTAAAAAATGCCAATTCACACACCTGTGTGTTGATATATTTCTAAAAAATATATTTCATATGCACAACCAACATAGAGTCAAAAAAATGCAATAAACTTCTTCCAAAATAGGAAATAATATAGTAGCAAACATTACCAAAAAGAAAATAGTAACAAAGCAAGTCATAGGAATACATATTATATTTCTACCAAAAAAATGCAGCATGTACATGATATTGTGGAGCTTTACTTATTTCAATCTTTAACTAGAAGAATAAAAAACAAAAAAATTTAAATCCTCACAATATTATGTGAATAAAAGATATAAAAAAAATACTAATATATTGTCATATTTTGGTTGGATATGTGGCCTAGTTTTTAGGATTATCCAAACTTGTGTGTATAGTTTCCATATGTTGCCGTGTTCCCTATGTCTGTCTATACTACAAAGGTATGAAGCATGGGTACTTAAACAAACATGCCGTACCCATACCAGGCACTTACTAGGTATTGGTACTGCGTATGGTGCTTCTACATACGTACTGGAAACACGTACCCAATTTTTTTCTTTTTAATTTGTCATAGACTAGACATACCTAGTATATGCCCAAATTGTACCACACCTTCGTCAAAGTAGCATTTTCTTCAAATACAAAGGTAAAATTAGTTTCATTGGACTTTATTATTATTATTATTATTATTATTTTTATGCTTCGCATTTTAAAATTAAGCTATAGTTTGCAAGTTATTTAATACAATGACATTTAATTTTAGATTATACCTTTTACTTTTGGCATTAAATGTGAATTGCGAGTTGGATCTCAGCAAACTAAATCATATAATTAATTTTTGCATTACTCCAAATTAAAAATAAATAAGTTTTTACAAACCTACCCAGTTGAACCCATACCCTACTTTTTTTAAAATTTACCGTATCGTTATACTCATGTCGTACCAGTACCAGTACCAGTACCCGTACATGTGCTTCATGGCTACAATGAAACAACCAATACTAGTTTCTTTTCATTGAGAGTGCTATTGTGGGAACGCTACATGTAGGACAATAGTGAATGATCACTTCACCACAAACTTTACAGAATTTGATTTAGAGTGGTAGCAAATAAAGGTTAGGTAAATTACATGCTTCACACTCCCAACTTTCACCCAAATTTAACTTTGGTCCTTCATCTTCTAATTGCAACAATCAAGTCCTCAACTATAACCTGTGTTTCAATTTGGTCCTCCCATCACCCACCATTAAGACTTTGGACGAAAAGTGCGCAATAGAGGAAAAAAAATATAGGGAATATTACACTTTTCAACCAACATTCACTCAAATCCCATTGGGTGCCTTGTGTTTAAAAACACTCAAATCATCTTGTTTCCAAAACCTCAAAAGTCAAAAGCAGCAGGCATGATTTGTAGGGGGACATGATCAATATGGTCTTAGTACCTTGATCAAATTCTAGATCAAAAGGCTCTTGATTTGTAGGGGTAAAGATGAACCTTTCTATTTGTTTATTTTTTATGAAGCATAGATGATACCAGTCCATGGCTGCAGCTAACCATGGCCACAGTCTTGTGCGAAAGGAAGCTTCTAGCACTCAACTAATACATGAGGACTAAGAAGTCCAAACACTTCTAAGAAGGTGGTGTGTTGTGTCTGACACCAACACTCGTCAAACACTTTTAACGTGTGTTGGACACATTTCCAAATGTGTGGCATGTCTGTGTGGGTCATGTGCCGGACACTTTATGACACGTCCAATCGTGTGCTATTATTATTGTTATTGTTATTGTTATTGTTATTGTTATTATATTATTATTATAGGCATGGACATATGTTCAGACACTTGGTCAACACATGTAAACATGAAATGCATTTCGTGTTTGAAGAAAATAAATTGGGATACAAAAATAAAAGAAAACAACGTAAAAGTATATCAATTAACTCTGTTTCCTTTAGACTTTAGGGATTAGTCCTATGTTGTATGTTATTACATTTGAAAATGTCATAATACATATATGTTACTACACATCTTGCACATGTTCCCCACGTGTCGTAAATTGGTGTGTCAATGTCATGTCGCATGTCCAAGTTTGCACTTCTTAGCATGCGGCATCTCTCTTGCAGGCTAAGTAAGAATGAAGGCCCATAACTCAAATTTATTTTTGTTAATCCACGTGGTATCAAGATATTTTTACTTCCAGCTGTCAGCTCCATGTTTTCTAATTCATTGGGTTCTCGATATTAATGTGTCTGCAAATAAAATAAGCTATCTTCCAAGAAACATCTAAGAAAATTAAAATAACTCCTATAGAATGCTACTTTGCCATTTTTTGGATATGGTCAGTACATCTCAGCATTATTCATCACAAAATGAGCTCCTAGACAAACAGAAAAATGACATTTAACACAAAAAACTTCAATTGGAGATTTCTACTAAATTTTGATAGATAGAAGAGAAGAAAAGTAATAGATTTCTACATACATTACTGAAACAACTAAAAGGGAGGGGGGAAAACCTATTAACTTAATAGATAGTCAAAGAGTTAGTTAAATAAAGCATAATTGATGAAAGAAGCTCTTTCTGACTCTTGACAATGCACTTAAGGATGCATACCAAAGATCAACCCAATCAAAGTGAGTATTGGAAAGGAGTATCATTTCGGATTTATTGTTCAATTTTGAAGGGATATAAAAACACCACTAGCACACAGGTGCGCTCACACAAGAAATGTAAGATTCAGTGTCTGTGTGTGTGTGTTTTACTTTTACTTCTTGGCTAGTAAAAATCAGCATGCTGTAACGGAGACTCATACTGTGCACCTGTCCCTTTGAGGTGGAGGCAGGCACAATTCAAACCAACAGCTAGAGGTAAACTCCTGTGGGTGTTATGGATTTCCGAATTCTATGATCAAATCAAGATTAAATATAAAAACAAAGTTTCTTTCATTTTCTGTTTCTATTTGCTACAAACTGAAACATTTTGAACAAATTAAATCCTTTGTACCAGGTGGTGTTGATACCCAATAATGAACAATGATATGTACAAGGCATCAACCTTTGAACATTTCTCATGCATAATCATGAAAAAAAATGGCTACAGTATTCAGCATCCTTTTAGGCATAATAGGGAGCACAATATACAAACTACAACTGGAGAAATTTTATTGAAAGATCGAGGAATAAGAATCTTACGTCATCTGTGTTGATGGTTCACCTACAGATTGAGCAGCAATTACCCCAACTGGTTCTCCCGAGTGTGCAAGACTTGATATGTATTTTTGCCTGACCAACTTAAGTAGTTCCTCTCGTTCCTTCAATTCTACAGATCCATCTTTGATCTTCAGTTCCTCAATGTACGTTTGCACTTTTTTTGTGAGACCTTCAGGCAATTCCGTAATGTAATTATTGAATTCAAGCTGTTGATGAAATTTTTGACCAATAATTGCCTGATTCTGAAAATAAACAAAACGAAGAGACACAAGTAACTATCTGTGCTAATAATGTTGATTGAGTAAAGCAGGAACGAAAGTTCTCACCGCTGCCAGTGCCCCAAATTTGGCAATAAAGCTCGTCTGGTGTACATCAACACCATCTTCTCCATAAGTAAATTGAATGATCGAACCATCTGCATCACGGACAGTATAATCATAACAAACTTTCAGGCATTCCATGTTTTTTACCAGGCATCTTTGCAGGTATCCACTACGAGATGTTTTAACGGCTGTATCAACTAACCTATACATGAGGAAGTAGAATTAGAAAACAGGTGGTCACCAAATAGAGCAGAACATTGAAAATATCCCATTTATACATGGCAGTGCAGAAATAATAAAGCAGCTAAATTTTGACAGTTTTTGACATTGAATAATAAAGCAACTAAATTTTGAGAATAATGAATTACAAGGATACAAATACAATTGGTTGTGAGCTGTCAAGTGAAGTCACTAAAATTAAAAAGCATTTCAATTTTGATAGGGATGCATAATTAGCGTGCCAATATGTGATTTCCATATGAAATCATGGACTTCTTGTATCCCGAATCATGAACATCCTTACCCATTATCCCCTCATCTTCCTATTTATAAGCCACAGATCACCTCAAAGGTTCCTTTTTCCTCTTTTTACTCCAGTTTTCATCTTATTCTTCTTGTTAGATCATCACTAGTCCAAAAAGCTTAAAATGTTAATGCATATCAAGCTCTCCAACACACTCCCTCAGTGCACCCCATCTTGCATGTGGAAATGCAAACATCCAAACATGTAGAAGAAACATAATGCAAACAGGAAACAAATGCAAAACAGTGAGACTTGAACTTAAGGCCTCTTCTTGTTGTTAGATCATCACTAGTCCAAAAAGCTTAAAATGTAAGGAAAGGGCCCAACAATGCATATCAAGCTCTCCAACACTCCCTCAGTGCACCCCATCTTGCACGTGGAAATGCAAACATCCAAACATGTAGAAGAAACATAATGCAAACAGGAAACAAATGCAAACAGTGAGACTTGAACTTAAGGGCTCTCCTAACCTCAGCTCTAATAGTAATACCATGTTAGATTACCATCAGTCCCAAAAGCTTAAGTAGTCAGAAAAGGGTCCCAACAACACTTACTAAACTCTCCAACAGTAGAATCGTGAAACTTATTATATTTTCATACATTACACCGTACTATATTGGTCAGCAACCAACATTTGAAGTGTGTAGGCTGTAGAAATCATGTCCAACCGTGTCTGAGTATTGCAGGCATTCTATACACATTTGACATGGATACTGCTTAGTAGTACTACACATGCAAATCACCAACTATCATACCTTCGAGTGATTTAGTAAATATTTCCCAAGTAATCAGAAACACAGGCACAGATAGCATACAGAATAAAGGCATATATTATTAGTAATATAACATATTTCTTATGCCACCTCTCAAATGTAATTCATAACTTTAGATGACCATACCCCCGAAAAAACATCTCTTAATCATCAAAAGATACAAAATTGAAAACTACTTTCTGGACAGTAAACCATGATCCAGTAGCCAAAGTCCTACAATAATTCTCCTTTTGTTTCACACCATCCCCCCCAACCAAAATAGCTTAAGGAAATGGGACTCCATGGAATGCATGTGCAGAAAAAAAAAATATGGGCTCAAACATCACTTACAAAATTGCATTAAATTCTCTCCCTCCCTCCCTCCCTCTCCCTCTCAAAGTAGATTCACACACCAATGTACCCCCATATGGACTTCAACCCTACACCTCCCCTTTTGGAAGTGGCAGGAGATACTACTAAAGCTAATAGCTGCCAGTCAAAATCAAATTGCATTACACCATCTACCAAAAATATATAGATATGTTTGTGTACATATAACATATTACCCCCCCCCCCCCCCCTCCAAAAAAAAAAAATCTGAACATAGATCAAGCTAGAATGTTTAACTTACCCTTCCCGACCGGCCATGCAGTGAAAGTAATATTCCTGAGGACGAAGACCAGTAAGGAAACGATCAGAAATAAAACCTCCAGCTCGAGATGAAAAATGCCATGGAGGAAAACAGGGCAGGGTTTTTCCAGAAACCATTCGAGGTACTCGTTTTCCTTCTAACTCTTGTTGGCCCAGACAAGAGGAAATTTGTTGGAAATTAACCTGTTTAACACATTTTGCAATCAGTAACAGTTGCCCAAACAATATGACCCAAGAAGAAGGTTCCAAATAGAAAATCAGACAGATAGTTTAAAATTTTAAAATGTTCTACTTAGATAGTTTGATCAATTACATTTCACATCTTCAGATGAGATGTACATAATATATTATATAATAGTGACAATCGTCTGTAATTCTATAGCTGTATACTATTTCCACACAATGTCAAGAGCACTTATTCAAGTAACATGGATCTTCCTACTACCAAAAATTATGGAATACAAAGAGCTCCTAATAAAAATATAAAAAATAAAAAAACAACGCCCAATTAGTACACATGAATGTGTGTTTGGAAGGAGAAAAATTGGGTACACACTTAACCTTTGGCATAATGCACAAAGTGATTGCCCCGAGACTTGAACCAATAACCTCAAGGTTATTAGGCCAAGATTTTACCATTGAACCAATGGTCACCCCGACCTGACAGCTCCTAATAATTATAATAGATAAAAAAAATACTGAAATACCACCAAGTGCCAACCAAATATAGTGAAAGGGGTTACAAAGAGTGTAAAGAACTCCTGCCAACTTACCGTACTACCTTTAGCCCCACTAATAGTCATAAGAGAAATGCAGTTCTTTGGAAAGGGTTTTAATAATCCTTTAACCAACAAATCTTTGTTGATATCGGAAGTCTTCTCATGGAGCCTATTCTTCATCTTCAAATCCATGGATGCTGTGGCAGATTGTCCACTATTGTGTATAGCTTTCTCAATTTCCAATTGCAGTTTCATTGGGCCTGCAAAACCAAATAAAGGATCAAAACATTACAAATCCATTTAAACAAGCACGTATCATAAAATATCAAGCAGGAACAAATATTAGAGAAATCATTGATGAGAATAAAAATTACGCCATATTACTATCCTAATGGATCGAGCCTGAGAGGGATAGATCGGGTACAGACATAAACTTTAGCATTATTTGCACAAAGTAACTGCCCTCAAAGTTCACAATATAAACAAGAGATTTCACTTCTTAGCTACTAAGTTCTACAAGGGAGAAAGTTTGGAGAATAGACAATTCTAGACATAAGTGGGAAACACTTTCCAGTTATACACCAACAAAATCTCACTAATGTAGCATTGTCCAAATCCAGGGGAAGAAAGGATACACCAGAAGCCAGGAAATGAAAAAATATAAGTACCATTTAGGTGTATTGAAGGAATGATGCAACAGCATCCATTGCCTGTTAGAAAAAGACCTATCTACTCCGGAAGCCTAAAACAAATCATATGGCCCACACACAATGTAGAAAAACCTTTTAGTCAAAAGGAAAGTGTCCATGGTAGTTAGTCTTTGTTAGTATTTACGTGAAGTTAATGTGTTGATCATCTGTTTTATTTGTTTTATGAGTAACGGTACTTTGAGTAAATTTTAGATTTGCTGAGTTGAGTTGTACTTTGGATCCATGGGTTGTAAATATGGGTCCATGAATCCTGTTTTGGATCAGATTTTGATGTGTTATGTGTCCAAAAGTCAAAACTTGGCCACCAAGTTTGACTCGTATATATGTGACATAATGGCCTAATTTAGAAGAGAAATTAAAATTGATTTGAGTTTTGTGAATTTATTTCTCAATTTTGAGAAAGAAAATTTTTTTCTTTTCTCTTCTTTTTCGCTTTCTTCTCCTTCTCTCTGCAAAATACTTGGATTACTAAACTCGGGATACGGTTCGTCACCTCATAATAGTCTTAGGCCTCTCCAATCAAGCTCTGATGACCCCTTAACCCTTCATGTGCAGAACACTTTGACCTTTGATTTCATACCATAATACCATAAAATAGCAGCCATCCCTAGATTTTTAACACTATATTTCTGAAATCCAGCTAGCTATCCCTTTGGAAACTAGATCTAAATCACTTTGGTGAACAAAACCTAATGGCATGTTTGGTGGAGAGAATAGGAGAGAAATAAGGAAGAAAAGGATAAGAATAATAAATTCATTTATCTTCCATGAATGAGTAGCTTTGTTGAATCATGATACAAATTGTGTATTGTACAATAACATATATGAATATAGATAAAAAGAAACTAGATCTAATTCAATCACATTGATGAACAAAGAATGGCATGTTTGGTGGGGAGAATAGGAGAGAAATTAAGGAAGAAAAGGATAAGAATAATAAATTCATTTCTCTTCCATGAATGAGTAGCTTTGTTGAATCATGATTCGAATTGTGTATTGTACAATAACATATATGAATATAGATAAAAAGAAAAATGGGTTTTCATATAGAATATAAAAATATTGCAAGAATAAAATATTAAAACATATAACCAATGACATGAAAAATCATCTTTAAGAAACTCACAAACCCGTCAAAGACGCAAATATACATTTATTACAAACCCAAGTATACTCGCAAGAAATTAGGGGGGAAATGAAAATTTATTGACAAAAGATAAATGACATTTCATTGCAAATATTAAAAAAATAAAGCAAAAAGTTTTTTTTCCCCAATCAGGCCCAGTCAAGGCTTTAAAAAGCAGCCGCAACCGTTACGTAACGCCGTTACGTAATGGTTGTGGTGGTTACCGCCACCCATTACGGCCGCTATAGCAGTGTGACGAAAATTCATACGTGTAATGACCGTTTCAATGTTACGTAACAGCCGTAGCAGTACCGTAACGGTCCGTTACACACTGTTACAGCTTTTTACAATATTCTGAATAGCTTCCTCTCCCAAAAAAAATAAATAAATAAATAAAAATTCACAAGAAAAGAACAAATACTAAAGTGATTCAAGCCTAAAGAAAAATCTTATATGAATTTATTTTCTGTATAATTTTTTTTAATTTTTATTTCATTACATGAGCATGTAAAATAATATATATATAAACAGTGGTTATATTTATTTTTATAATCATTTTATTGAATATTTAATTGTAAATATTTTTTTTATTTTGTTACTGTAATGTGTTGTCTAAAAATGTCTTTAAAAAACTCAAAAATAAGTTTTGTTTATGGCACAATTTTTATTTTTATAATCATTTCATTTAATAATTGTGAATATTTTTTATTCAGCTGGTTCAAGTATTGGTCAAAAATAATTTGTAGACATTTAAAATCAATTATTCTTGAAGTCATTAACTATTGAAATAAAATGTAAAAAACTTCTTTTATAGTGATTTGAAAATAAGGATATATTAGATCATACTTAAAAATTAACAAAAATTGATCAAAATCTATTTTAAACCCTAATAAATGTGCTTTTGGAAAGAAAGAAAAAAATATATATCAGTAAGTCTTCAAATTGTGCGAAAAATAAAAAAATCACGATTTTAGTTACTGCAATAGTTACGCTATGGCCTTCATATCCAGCAACCGCGCCACCGCAACCGCTTTTCGAAACCTTGGGCCCAGTAGATTTGATCCCGGGTACATATGGTTCATGATTTGCAACAAAAGACATTCTTTAAAAGTTGTTTGGATATGAGTATTTTTATGGTTTATTGTCACAGTCAAAACAAGCCTTTTGCCTCAAATATCAAATCTAATTAAAATCAAATATTTGGTGTGTGTAAACTCTCTATTTCTATCACTTGAATTAGATCCATAGGAGTAGGTCAATTTCTTGTATCAAAGGGAGTATGAGAACTACTTTTCTTGCGAGCTTATATTGATTTGGGTCTCCTTTGTATGTGATTTTCTAAATATATGGTTCATGATTGTTTAATGAGTGTCGATCATGGTGATTGATAGAGGAAGAAGATTTTTAACAGTGCCAAAACCGGTATGTATCTCACGATTCAAGACACCAATGCTACGAGCTAAAAAGCACGAATACTTCTATGAAGGAGGCGTGTTATGTCAGACATGACACTTTGCGAACACTCTTAAAAGTGTTTCCAACACTTCTTCAATCTCTCTGAATTAAAATTTTAAATTCATAATATCAAACACTTCTCAGACATTTTGGTAACACTCCTTGAACCCTCCAAACATGGCCATGTGATGAATCTCTTCATAGTAATAGTGATCTGCATTCTTCAGAATGCAACTAGTGTTCTCTAAATATGTTTTGAAATATTTATAAAATAAATACATCATAGGCATTTTAATGTTTTATAATTGTTTTGAATTATCCATAATATCTTGATATTTAAAATATAGAATACACGGATTTTAATTTTAATTATATTTAACTACAAAATAAATTGATAGAAATATAAATTTTCAACGTGTCCCAAGCTACGTGTTCATTTTTGAAATCGTCATGTCAATGTGTCGGTGTCGTGTCCATGTTGTGTCATGTGTCCAGGTCGTTGCTGCTTAGGATACGAGTCTGCAAAAAGTATCTTTTTCCAAAAGATACAATTCATATTGCATATCGCAGGGTTCTAACAACACTGTGGATGAGAGAGAAAAGGGAGAGAGACAGAGAAGTGAATAAAATATTAAGGCCCTTCTAAGTACTTGTACCTTAAAGTACATGTACTTATCTCCAGAATGTGGAAGAAAACCTATTGAAAAATGTTTTAAAAAAGTCCTCATTTCTATTCATTCGTTACAAGCCAACCAAAATAAGAGAATGGTAGTTGTGTAATTGTCTACTTATTACTTATTGATATAAATATACATAGTTAGAGAGAACAGACTGATTTTAGGTTTTGTGCCTCCTAACATTGTTCTTCTCTCTTTCATCTTAAATTTCTTCTTTCATTGCTAACTTGGTATCAGAGCAACACACAATCTCTGAATCTCTCTGTTCTTTCGTCTTCCTGGTTCTCCTTCATTGTTCAAAAATGTTAAAAAAAAAAATTCCCAGCATGCTTGACTAGGGCTGGGGATTGCCCAGAAAAATTTTCAAATTTTTTGAACTCTTCTTTGCCTATTTTTCGATTTTTTCTTTATTTTTGTGAAAAACGGATTGTTTTTTCAGATTTGCTCTCCTAGCCTGTTTTTGCTTGATTCAAGGCTTAGGCTCCTTTCTCTAGGAACCAACTAGGCTGTTTATAGCCTTCCCTGGCTTCAGTTTTCACTTCTGGGACATTTTTTTGGTTGTTGTTGGTCCTTGTGGTTCATTCGGGTGCTGTCTGGCCTGTTTCAGCTGCTGTTTGGGCTGTTTCTGGTCCTTGCTGGTTCTGTTTTTGGTGAGATTTATACTTCCAGACAGTTTTTGTTCTCTCTTCATCTCATTTTTAAACTGGTTGTAGTCTTCACTAATGGCTGCCGAAGATGTCATTCCAGCCAGCAATGAGACTAAAAGTTTAGGTCCTAGTGTGATGCTTGGTGACAACTCTCCTCTTCAACTCACTTCTGTTAAGTTGGATGGTACCAATTACTTAGTGTGGTCCCGTTCCTTTCAATTGGCTATTACTGCTCATGGCTTGTTAGGATACATCCAAGGCGTTACTAAGGCTCCCACGGAGGATGGATCAGCACGTGACAAATGGAATAAGGAGAATGCCCTGGTCATGACCTGGTTACTCAATTCTATTCATTCTAATATTAGTCGGTCATTTGTTTTGATGGACACTGTTCATGAGATTTGGACTGCTACAAATCAGATGTATTCCCGACGAAGTAATGATGCTCAGGCTTATGAACTGCGGAAAAAAATTCGGGGCTTTAATTAGAAAGACAGATCTCTCGCTGACTATTATTCAGAGTTGAGTAGTTTGTGGCAAGAACTTGACTATTATCAAAATTTTCAGGGTGTGTGTTCCCAAGATGCAACTATGTTTCAGCAGATGGTGTCCAACGAGTGTGCGTATGACTTCCTTGTTGGTCTC